AAGCAATATTATTTTTTCTCTTGGCGGGTATGGCCGTGAAGATGGGCATGATGATTTTTTTTGGGCAGATGGTTGAAAATATTTTGTTATTTAATTATTTCATTTTGGTGGGTTTTGTAATTATATCATAGTTTTGTAATTTTTTTTGTTTTTTTAATTGATTGGTGGTGTATATGTGTGGTTGTTTCATTCTTTATATATAAGAGAGATGGTAAATGGTTTTGGTTTGTGGCACTCAGAAGTTGGTACGAGAACATCTGCATTGGAGACATTTTGTATGTATCTTTAAATATAAAATTATTAAAAGTTGAGTAAAAGGATGAAAGAGAAAGTATAAAGTTGAGTAAAAGGAAGAGAGAGTGTGTTTTTAATATTTTTTTATCGAGAGACATCCACATTTTGTCTCCAATGTGGATGGTCTGAGAGATTATCCTGGAATCCTGCGTATGCATCTTACCAGACATTTTTTTAAAATGGAGTTCAAATATTTCCCTACTTACTTTTAGGAATGATCTATGCTTCTCAAACACAGGGATGGAAATAGTTTTGACTAGGCAACTAGAGATAAGGATGAATGGTTTGATGTGCAATTGGGCCCTAGTTTCCAAACCTATAAGAGCAACGATAAATGAAGAAGACCTCTTTTCCAGGTCTTAGATTGTTCAATTTTGTTCATATGTATAAGAGCAACGATAAAAAAAGAAAAACCCTTTTTTCATAGTTTTGGAAAGGAAAATGAACAATGGTAGTAGTTTTGATAATTTTCTCAAATGTCAAATCTAAATAAAAAAAAACGGCACACATTTCTTGAAAGTAAATAAAACAAACGGCACACATGTCATGTCTTCTCTGAGTTCTTCCCCGACTTGGCGAAGAAAGCTAGGAAGGTAAAACAAAAGGAGAATCTTGTCTACTCCTCCTTTCTCGCAAGTAAAGGGGGAGCTCTGGGAATTCAAAATTAGGGTTTTTGTCTGCGATCACGATCCTTCAATTACTTGACGAGAATGGAGAAAGCGAGACAAGCATCGCATGCAGGCTCTTGGTACARCGATAATCGTGAGTTCTGACTTTTTTTTTTCCGGTTGCTTGCTCAATTCTCTATCTGATCTTGGGGCTGGAGAATTAGGTCTTAGATTGTTCAATTTTGTTCATATGTTGATCACTGATTTTTAGTATAACTGTCTCAAGTTTAAGGTTTTGATTTCATGGTTACTGTAATTCGTTTCCTAAAATGGAAAAAATTTGATCTGATGTTTAGTATCTGGGTTTAGAATTTGCTTTGTCTTGAAAAATTTTGTTTGGGAAACAAAGTCATTAAGCAGTAGTGAGCTTTGACTTTTTTTCCTCCTTAATCAAGAATCCTCTTGCTCCTTGAAGGATTCTTGAGTAAGAAACTCAAGCTCGTTTTTTGTTTCTTTATCAGCTACAAAGTTGGCATCGGATCTTGAAGAATGGCTTAGCGCAACTGGTTTAACCAAATCTCCTGATGTACGAGGCGTCATTGCACCGTAAGTTTTGTTTTTTGCTACAAAGAATATCAAAGTGCTTACACTTCACCTAACTTGTGAACAAATCCAGGCACGCAGGTTATTCGTACTCCGGTCGTGCAGCTGCTTATGCCTTTGCAAACATTGATCCAACCAACATGTAAGTAAATCTTGATTACTTTTGTTCACTCAATCTTGGATTTTGCGTCGAGAGCCATTATGCTTTGGAAGACTGTTCATGAGTTGGAATTCATGGATTCAGTATTATTCTGGCTGACTAATGCTGTGTTTCGGAGAGTCTCATTTCAGTTCCCGGATATTTCTTCTCGGTCCATCTCACCACTTCTATACTCCAAGATGTGCCCTTTCGACTGCAACGGTTTACAAAACCCCCATAGGAGATCTACCCGTTGATGTGGAGAGTAAGTTTGGCTTGCGTATCTTTCCAAAGAAAAGATTTTTCACTTAATGAGTTGCGGCTTGACTTATCACTCAAAGATGTTCTCTTTTGGTTTTCTTACAAATTGACCAGCCATTAAGGAGATAAGAGCTATGGGGAAATTTGGAATGATGGATCTCCGGGTCGATGAGGCTGAGCATAGCATGGAAATGCACTTGCCGTATTTGGCTAAAGTATTTAAGGGGTAATCACATGGGTAGTAATCTTAAGGGTTCTGAAAAACTTTAAATTATGTGGCGGTATTTGCTGAGACTGGCCCATTCTAAATATTTGACCAGGCATAATGTGAAAGTTGTACCGATCTTGGTTGGAGCAGTAAGTGCAGAAAATGAAGCCATGTACGGTGAATTGCTAGCCAAATATGTGGATGATCCCAAGAATTTTTTCTCGGTGTCCTCTGACTTTTGCCACTGGGGCTCAAGGTTTGGCTTAGCTAACTTCATCTCGTTTCTTTCTTTCCCTCCTTTTCTGCCTTGTCTTGTCTTGTTGAAATACGAGACTGATGAAACTTTACTTTTGATGAAATTTGCTTGAGAAATGTCATAGCTTGCTCTTTATCTCTGTCTGAGATTTGTTACTGCATAACCAAATATTCTGAGGCCCTTGCGCTAGCTGCCTCCAGTGAGCCTATTGCCTGTGTTATGATTGTGTTCATATGTTTTCGGTTACAGGTTTAATTACATGCATTATGACAACAATCATGGTCCCATACACAAATCCATTGAGGCACTAGACAAGATGGGAATGGATATAATAGAGACAGGAGATCCAGATGCGTTCAAGAAGTATCTTCTGGATTTTGACAACACCATTTGTGGGCGCCACCCGATTAGTATTTTTCTCCATGTAAGAAATGCTGCTAGCCTGTTACTTTGCTATGGTCGATAAATCCATCAACAATAGCCTTAAGCTTCTAGATTTTGTTGATGCCTTTCTATTGATGTCTTGGTACTCAATAAGGCTTCTTTAACCCATATTGGTTCTGTAGATATTCCTCAAAACTTATTGCTTTTGATTTATGTTTGTGATTACTTTCAGATGCTAAAACATTCCTCAAGCAAGATTAAGATCAATTTCCTGCGGTACGAGCAGTCAAGCCAGTGCCAGACTATGCGAGACAGCAGTGTCAGCTATGCATCTGCTGCAGCCAAGTTGGAAACTTGAACTAAAGTAAGTTGAAAACTTGGCGTGCAAAAATTCACATTCGGTTTTTACATTCCGGTTTCAAGGTCTTTCAGTGTCGAAAAGTATCATCGAAATGCAAAGAACCTTAGAAAACCAAAGGTTTCGTATTTTCATTCCTCTGTAATAATTTATATTAAAAAAAAAAAAAAGCAGAAGACCCTCCCCTCCATTGATTGATATCTAAATTTTGCATTTTTCTCAGAATGGATCCACAAATTAAATGTCTTGAGACTTAAAAACACCTTTTGCTTAAAATCTACACATACAAAAACAAAGAGACACATCAAAAGTTAACTCTTACAATCTCCTTGCTTTCTGCATATTCCGGTAGAGCTTGCTTCCGATGCCGTCTCTCTCTACCATAGATAATCCAAAACATAAGTGAGAGCATCACAGCCGTTGATAATATGGCCAGACCCACATAGACCCAATAGCCATAACGTTGGAGTCCAGGACAATGGTCACTGGTTATGTCTCTAAAGGTCTGCTTTGCATATGAACAATCCTGAAGCTGGACCAGGAATGGTGCGTCTCTGATCAAACCGGTGCTGATGGTCACACATGATGCCATCTGACCATACAGCACCGGCGTGAGCCTCCCAGTTGTGGCACAAGTCCCATTCGAGCTCACTTGGCACACGAAACTGTTCCATGCCTGTGTGTGTTGTGGCAAAAACATATTGATACCAAATGGTTTAAAACAAAGCTCGATTCATTTATGGTTTGAAAAATTCTGATTTGGTGCGGTTTAGCTTATAATGCCATCCCCTTGAGTAAAAACAGTTTCAGCATCAGAGGAATGCTACAAAGAGAGAGACTTACTTGAGTAGCATTGTTCAAATCGAGCTCACCAGGTGAGCACGGACGATCGGTGAGGTCATGGTTAAAGGGATTGCAGAGCAATGGAAGCAACGGTCCAGATTGGTTGTAGTACATTGGGACAAAGACTGGAGAGAAATTGATGTTGGAGACATTAGAGATGACTGTGTTGATGAGTTCCACAAGCTGACCTGT